AAAAATAATAAAATAAAATATATAAAAAATATATATAAATATATGAATATTTATATATATATCGATATATACATACATATTAAGAATGTTTGTTAGTGAAGGCTAAAAAAATCTGCTTTCACAAAAATAATCTTCAAAAACACAAGTAATAAATTTATTAGTTAAAAATCTGCTAAAGGCCTCTAATGCATTCATTAGTGATGATAGTAAACACAAAAACCTTGCTAGCTGCACCTGCACATACATGTATGTTGAAATTATTAATTTTTCAGTTGATAGTAATGAACTTTATACAAAAAAAAAAGAAAAGTGCGTTTGGAGACGTGCAACACTAACTTTTGCAAAATCGGTGGTCTGGATTTAGAATGCAGTCAAATAAAAGAAATTTCATTTCAGTCACGATTTACAATCCACAGGTTGTTGTCATGTGTAATTTGAGATTACGCATGACACTTGAGATTTTTCATGTCTTAAAAACACACCACCAATTCACAGTTAACACTGGGTGTAAAATTTGCACTGTCTGTTGATTTAGGCGTGTTTACCGAGCGTATGCACACAAACACGGACAGCTCCCTCTGTTTATGTGCTCATACATTTAATCTGAGATTATTGTTCCACCACATTTCACCCCCACTGAACAATGCAAAGAATGCAATCCTCAAAAAAATGATCATCGGTGAACACATCTGGTCGAAACAGATATCCCAGAAACAGGATCCTAATTGTACCTTTTGACATACTAAGGTCATGCTATCAGATCTTTGTACCTAATCTGAGCTCAGAGATCTTCTCCTGTCGCCTCATTCAGATAAAACACATCTAAAGCTTGTGCTCATATTTAACATGTTTGTTTGTCTAGATTTGAACCATGCATTGCCTCACAATGTGTCTCTTCCTCCAGCAGAGGACAGTGTTGTACTAAAAGGTCAAACCTGTTGCTATGGCAACAGGGTTAAGACTGTGCAGTAATTGTGGAAATAGATGGAGTTGAAGACACGAGGAGAATCCTGTCACACCCTGAACCCGCACGACACATCCTGCCCAGCACATGTGCGACAGATTCCTCCCCCCCCCCCCCCCCCCACACACACACACTCAGACAAAAAATATGTGCACAGCACCCAACCCTTTTGTTGACACGATGCAGCCCCTCAACTCATTATTAACAAATTACAGTTAAAGGTTTTAACCATACTGCTGATCTAAATCAGAGCCAAAGCCAAGTCAGCCCACTCAGGTTCTAAAGACAACGTTTGCCCACACAAAGATAAAAACCACATGCATGCACATGCACAGTGATGTACTTCCTGCATGTCCCTGCAGGCCCCGGCACGCTCGGGGAGCACTACTTCAATCTGTTGTAACAACTGTCACTCTGGAGGAAAGACAAACGTTTTTCAACAAGTATTTACTTCATTCAAATCCTAATTTTTATCTAATGTTTTGCAGAACGTTTTCCCCCGATGTGACGCGAAACAACCATCTTCAAAAAAGAGGTGTTAAATTTAGATTTTTGAAGAAAAATCTTAATTTACATGTGGTTTAAACTTGTGATCAATTTCCTTGCTGCGTCATAGCCAACAGATCTTTATTATGCCACAAGTTGAAATATGAGAGGGCAGTGATTTATCTTGTTGCACCGTACTATAAAATAATGTACTGAAATATGCAGCTGCCGGTGTCGAGTTGCAGCAAACAGGTGACGAGGGACAGAGACAGCCGCCTGCTGCTTAAAGAAACCCAGAGCTCCACCACCGTCCTAAAGTGGCTCCGGCCCTGAAAAGCGAGAGCAGCAGACACGGAGGAGAAGACGATACAGTATTTTCTATAAACAGATGCC